TATCAAACGGCAGGATCGGATTGTCTGCAAGCTCTAAAACTAAGAGACCCCACACCTCACCCAGCATGCGATGGTACTGGAAGCCAGGATCCCCGAATTTCGACATCCACTCGAAGTTTTCGTAGCAGCTATGATATGGAAAAGGCTCGCCAGTGAATCCAATGTCGATGCTCGATGTTCCTGCGATGTCTTGGAACGCCACATAGTCACTACCCGCACCCAGGCCTGGGAGTCTCTTCCCTTTCTCTTCCCAGATCTCCTTGAGCGTCTTATTTGCTGCCGGATCCACCACCCTACCCAGGATCTGGAGGAGGATACGTTGAAAGACAGGGGATGCAGAAGCTTCAAATTCCGTTCCACTCACACCAACATCGACGTTCACGTAGGCAAATCCATCCCGGCGAAGACTTTCCAATTCATTCTCCACGTGTTCAGTGGAGCCTATGAGGTTGTATTCTTCGCCATCCCAGCTTGCAAACTCAATGGTGCGAAGTGGCCGCCAGCCTAGAGTGCGCAGTTCGCCAAAGACTCTCACGATGTCCAAGAACACCGCGGTACCGCTGCCGGGATCGACACCTCCAAAACACCACGAATCCCGATGGTTGCCAACGACAATCTTCTTTTCAGGCTGTTCCATGCCCGGAATCCTGCCAATGACATTGTAAATCGGCTGTCGCTCGACCTCGTCTTGGATATTCATCAGGTTGACTTTGGGTGAGGACTGATCTCCTGTCCACCATTCACCAATGTCTGGGACACCACCCACCCATTCAGGCGGCACTTCTGAACCATGCCCCTTGAGGACCTGCAATAGCCGCTGTGCATCGCGCCAGGCGATGGGTATGCTGGGTATCTGGTTCAACCCGGAGCTTTCTTCGGGGGACAATCGCTTTGCCTCCTCGGGAGTCGACGGGAAGCCTGGAGAGAGGACGTCTCCTACTACCCAGGACATCAAACTCACTGCTCCTCTCTGCACACCATCCTTGGGCATATAACGTCCCTCTGGATAGGCCGGACCCCGCACGAAGCCGTCTTCAGCAGGATCGGAATAGATAATGCAGCCGGCTGCCCCCGCCAGCTCGGCAGCCTTAACTTTCAGTGCGCGATCGCCCTGAGAACCGTAATATCGAACCAATACTATGGACCCCTCAAGCGAAATTCCGCGGTCGGCGAGCAATTTGAAATCTTCACGGGATCCGTAGTTGGCATAAATAAGGGGTCCGGTCACATTGCCTGACTTTGAATGTCCATGGAAGACGAGGGTCTGTTGTCGTGGAGGGTCCTTGTAGACCTGTTCCTCGTCGATAGAGGCCTCCCAAGCCAACTCTGGGGGCTCAACAATGGCGACACGTCTCCCATCCGATCTCGGATAATTCAGGTACACTTGAAATTCCTCCATATGGACATCCTCCAAGCCAGCCTTCGTAAATTCCTGCTCAATCCACTCCGCCAACACGTAGCTGCCCTCTGTCCCAGCCATGTGCGCAAACCTCGAGGCTTTTTCTAGCTTCTCTGCAATGTTTGTCTCATTGATGTGACCCTGCACAAAATTCTCAACAGATGACGGTGTATACGACTGTCCGACACTGAGGCGGCTGCCTACAGCAAAGACGTCGGAGACAAATAGGAGATAAATGAGCGACGCCAAGATCAGTACTCCCACCACGCGCAGGATGATCATGCATCCTGCGCCATCCTCCCTCACTTGAATTCGCCAAAAGTCGGATCGAAATTGAAGTCGCGGCAGATATTTCCGTAGTGGTTGTTTGATCGCGGATAGTGTCCGTGTGAGACTGCTGAGCTGTTTCGAGAAACGCTGTCCCAGCTGGGAGTGCATGCTCTCGGATGAAGCTTGCCCGGTATCGTCTACATCCATCTCGTGCAGCTCCCTCTGCAGCTCCTCCATCGACTCCCGCGGGGAATTTTCCCCCGACGAAGGGAGAAAGTCGAGGCTCGACCGTGCCGATTCGACGGTTGGCGGTTGATATCGTCCATGGGGGTGCGGCCGGGAGCCGGAACCGCTGCCACTCGAGTCGCCATGTTGGAGAAGGCCCTGCCTCTCCGCATCGTCGCTGGCTTCTTCGGGACCGACACGCGAGGAACTTGGACGAGAGGAAATGGCTTCTTCGTAGGTGGGGATGGGAAGAGACTCATACTCGGACTTGTCGAGGCCCATTGCTAGGGCGGATCGGACAGAGCTCTGCGGAGCCCTGGAGATGGACGGAGATCAAGGAGGTTGGAACATGCGGGGTCATGATCTGGTCAACGAGCGGACAGCAGCTAGAAGCATGCCTGGTCTGCTTCTTGAGGCGGCAATGGGGACAGATATTGCGTTGTTGAATTGCTAGGGCGCTGATGTTCCGGAACGAATCGTGAAGCGTGATACGTGAGGCTGCTCTCCCTGACCGAAGTCTGGCCGCCAACTCCGGTGGGCCAGACGCGTGGCGCAGCCCAGGCATCGACTGTCTCACAGTTTTCTCCGTACGGAGCGCATTTCTCCCCTACAGCTAAGCTCCTGCATGCCCCTTTTGGAAAGCAAATCATTCAAGAATAATTATTTCTTTATCTTGCAGGATGTTCATGGGGCACAGTGTGGCTGATGGTTGCCTCCTTGCTGTCTCTCTCTGACTATATATTGTCCATGGATAGGTTTGCCAACTCCAATATCGATAAGAATATTGAGCGCTGGGATATTAGACCCGGCGTTGGTGGGTTATGAACTTGCTTTGGGGAATTTGACTGTTCTGTTGTCAAACTTGTAAACTCGTCGACGTTGGAGGTTTTACCACGACTCCTCAGGCACCCGTGGCATGAAGCAAGCTCATTTTACGCCGACGTGATATGTGGAATTGTATCGCTGCTGCAATCATGAGAGCTTCGTTCGCTTTGTCTCGTTAGAGCATGTTCTCTACCATGTTACCCAGATATCCTTGAAGTATGTTCGGCTTGCGATGCGATTTTCCTAGCGCTCGCACATAGGGTGGACATGGATATACGACAACATTGCATAGTAGTCAAACCAGGAGTCGGGACCCCGCGAGAACGACAAGAGAGAGTTCCTCTGGCTCGCATGAATCATCATATACTACTGCACCTTGTAGGATTCGTCCTTGGATGGGAAATTGGCGTATCTCCGAAGCCGGCCTCAATCATGCGGATGCTTTCATCAGTCTGGCGATGAACAACTTTGCAGACGTCGCGCACAATTGATCAGTAATACTGAAAACAGATGTGGTAGCTTCTCATGAGAAGCTGATCTCCACACGGGCTCCCTTATGGGTAGTGTCCTTCCCAGACTATGACAATTCATCTACGCTAGTAAGGTAGCAAGCGAGAACGATGCACGCGATATCGGACTGACCAGATGGTTCTCCCGGATCCATGCACACACATACTTCAATCGCAAGTGGTGCCACGACTCTCGAGCTCATATGCGGTGGAAGCAAACCTGACTCTTATTCCAGAGCCCTCAACCTCCCGCAAATGCCTGCCGATTCTTTGTATCCCACAGTGTGTCGTGGATGTCGAGGTTTCGTCTCTGCTGGCGTAGGGCTGCCTATTACTTGCCGATTCGACGTTACCTTACAGCACACTCTGCTAACAGTGCGGAGTACAGAGTTACTCCGTACTCCATACTGTACGAGACAGATCTGCTAACAAGTCTAATCCACTATGACACAGACACAGACACCTTGAACAGGGACAAAGATCTTTCGCTGGCCTGGGGTATCGTTGTCGAGGCGATGGTTCGGCTGTTGCTGCCTACAAGACATCCACGAGGAAGCGAGGCCCGTGAGCTTTTGCTGTAGTTAACAGTTGCGACGGAGTGCCTGATGGCAGGCCCACAATGCTGCTGCTAGACAAATCTTTGGCTGGCTTGGCTGTGCATGGGCAATTTTTTTTCTGTTACTCGGTCGTGTGTTGTCGGTGGGAGGAGGGGCAAGTGCCCACCGGCCTGTGGCTGCGATTCGCTGGTCAAGCCCCAATGGTTCAGGGGGAAGACGCTAAAGCAGACCGGCGGGCGCAAAGTCACTTATCGCTTCTTCCCGACGGAGTAAGATACCGCAGATGCAGCACAAGAAAAAGGGTCTCCTACTCCGTCCACGCAGCAGGATCTGGCGGTCTACACATTGCCATTGGGACGGCCACTCTTCTCCAGTGAATTCTTTTTCCGCCTTCTATCTCCTGCTCTGGCCACTGTCACCACTTCTGCTTTTTCTCTGACTGCATTCCATTCACATCGTGGGAACCAGCTGTCCCGTGGTAGGTGCATCGATTGGCGCCGTTATCTAGGAGGAAACGCTGACGAGGGCATCCACCGCCCCTCCCAAATAGCTTGGCCCTGAAACCCTTATTATTATCCCGCATCCATACCATCTGAACCTGCGGTCGCTGCTCTGTGACTGCTGATTGACTTTGCTATTGTCTCCTTTGCATTCCTGCAGCTTGTCTTTGCGGACTTTGCAACATCGCACATTCCGAACCGGAGACACGATCGCATCTGTGTGATTTCTCCTCCACTTCGTGTACCCCGCCGTCACCATGTCGACCCGCCCCCAGAACATTGGCATCAAGGCCATCGAGATCTACTTCCCCAGCCAGGTAGGCCTTCGCCTCGATTTTTGCAGCGATCTCCCCTGGATTGTCGTTTTTGTGGCATGCGGGGTAGCTAACACGTCGCGTGATTGTATAGTGTGTTGACCAGGCTGAGCTGGAGAAGTTCGATGGCGTCAGCGAAGGCAAATATACGATTGGTCTTGGTCAGACCAAGATGAGCTTCTGTGATGATCGTGAGGGTATGCTACACTTCTTTTGCTTGGGGGGAATGCGTCTTTCGGAAATACGGTTTGCTGTGCGTGCTGTGCTGACGGGCTGCGTTTCTCATCCTAGACATCTACTCCATGGCCCTCACCACCCTCTCCTCTCTCCTCCGTAAGTACAACATCGACCCCAAGTCGATTGGACGCCTGGAAGTCGGCACGGAGACCATCCTGGACAAGTCCAAGTCGGTCAAGTCCGTTCTGATGCAGCTGTTCGAGCCCTCTGGCAACACCAATGTGGAAGGTGTGGACACGGTGAACGCCTGCTACGGCGGCACCAATGCCCTCTTCAACAGCATCAACTGGCTTGAGTCGTCTGCCTGGGATGGTCGGGATGCTATTGTTGTCTGCGGAGACATTGCTCTGTATGCTAAGGGCAACGCTCGTCCCACTGGTGGTGCGGGCTGTGTTGCCATGCTCATCGGCCCCGATGCACCAATCGTTTTCGAGCCGGGTCTCCGTGGCACCCACATCGCCCATGCCTACGACTTCTACAAGCCCGATCTGACGAGCGAGTACCCTGTTGTGGATGGCCATTTCTCCATCAAGTGCTATACCCAGGCCGTCGATGCCTGCTACAAGGCCTACAATGCCCGTGAGCAGGTCCTGAAGGAGAAGGGTGCTGCTCAGAATGGTGTGGTCGCCGACGACAAGACGCCTTTGGACCGCTTTGATCACGTCCTGTTCCATGCTCCCACCTGCAAGTTGGTGGCCAAGTCGTACGCGCGGTTGCTCTACAATGACTACCTCGCCAACCCGTCCCACCCCGCCTTTAAGGACGTGCCGGCGGAATTGCGCGATCTGGACTACGACAAGTCCCTTTCTGACAGAAACGTCGAGAAAACCTTTATGGCCTTGACCAAGAAGCGCTTTGACGAGCGCGTGAAGCCTAGCATTGAGGTCGCGACCATGTGTGGCAACATGTACAGCGCCAGTGTCTACGGCGGTCTGGTGAGCCTGCTCAGCAACGTGACCTTTGACCCCAGCCAGCCCAAGCGGGTGGCCGTCTTCAGCTATGGCAGCGGTCTGGCCAGTTCCATGTTCAGCTTCAAGATTGTCGGTGATGTGTCGACGATGGCTAAGAAGCTGGACTTGCACAACCGGCTCAATGCCCGTCGTGTCGTGTCTCCTCAGGAATACGACAACGTAAGTCCTTTTTCTTCTTGCTCTCTTGCATTCTTTGGACGAATGGCTGACCCGTTTTAGATGTGTCTGCTCCGTGAACACGCCCACCTCAAGAAGAACTTCAAGCCGGCCGGAAACCCGGAGACCATTGCTCCCGGCACGTACTACTTGGTCGAGGTTGATGACATGTTCCGACGCAAGTACGAGATCAAGGCATAGACCAATGACCGGCCATTCAGATGACGGGATGAAATTTGCGGTTTGTCAGGCTTGAATAGCGTTTCTTTTTTTTCCAGTGCATATTGCCGATGACTGGGCTTTCATCGTGTTTCTCTTGTCCCTCGGTCTGTTGGCTGCATGCATAGAAAGTCATTGTGATATGGGCGCTGATATGATCAACCTCATCATCATAATCATAATCACCAGAGGACTAGGATGAGCTTTTCTCACACAGGCATGTGGATAGAGAATGATCTTTTGTGATGACTAGATAAGATCGTATATAGTTTTAATAATGCTGAATTGCAGTACTTTTGATGCGTTCTTTCAGGGCAGCAGCCAGTCCTCAACTCCATTCAAAGAGAGAAACTCCGGTGAAGCGCGTCGACAGCGCGAGCGACGCGTTCACACGCAGGCATTGAAACGGCTCGAGGATGGACACATGCACTCCGGACTTCTGCATCGTCTGCGCTGTTTCTAAGTATGACTCACAGACGCGGATGGTTGGAAACATGAAACAAACAGTGCTCCAATGGTAGGCTATACGGTTGCCATGTCAGGCAAGCCGGCCACGATGCTCGATTAACTCTGCTTGGCTCCCGAACGCATCGGCCAGGCGGTGATCCTGCCAGATCGTGATTCCTGACTCACGCGTCGTGGTGGCGCATCCGGTTGGCCGCTGCTGGCCAATCCGCAGCAGCCGTGCAGGTGAATTTCCAGCGTCCCGGCGTTTCATAGGCTCGGCCTCGCCCAGTCAGCAGGCGTAACGCCGCCGTGGCCGGCCAGCGCGTACTGAGACTCCTGCCAGCAAACCCGAGCCTCAGTCTCATCCATCCTGCCATCAAAATAGCAACGCACAAACCTGAAACTATCGCGATCGCTGGCCGCATTGCAGTGTTCTCCCTGTGGCATTACCAGACGGTCCATTCATCGACAAATGAGGCAACCCGGCGCTTGGGGAAGTGGCCGTTCTCCACCAAATCCCACGCACTCGCCCCAGTGCTGCTACTACATACGGTATACAGAGTATATTCCTGTCTTTTTTTATCCTCAGGCTTCGCAAAGGCGCCCATTTTTGCCGCCGAAGGGGAGCAAGCTTCTCGAGCAAAGCGCTTCACTGAGACTCGCGCTCCAGAGGCTATACAGACCGAGCAATTTATTAATAGCATACGACAAGCAGAATGTGTTACTGAATATAGATCTTCAAGCTCATGACAGAAAATAGCATCGCAGCTAACCCTCCGAAGAGATCAGGGACTAACCCAGTAGGAACATCTGAAACGAAGAAGATGCCCGATTTAGCACATTGACGCGCGACTGCCTCCTCCATCTCGCTTCCTCCACGGTTTTTCCTCAGGTGTAGGACTAGGTTCGTGTATGGATCTGCAGTAACCCCAGAGAGCTCCGATACCAGGAAAAGAAAGAAGCCAGTGGTTTTTGGCGTCATGATGGAGCTCGATTTTCTGTTTCATGTTACCATGTCGGGGATCTTGTGGACTGGGTTGTTTTTATTTTTGCAGGCCTGTGGTCTTCCAGATCAGCATTTAACATCCAAACGATTTCCGTCGAGATACTCGTTCTCTTGAACATGTCTTCTTCATCATCTTGCCATTGAACCAACTATTTTCTCTTTTGCTCTCTTGATGGTGCTGTGAAATATAGTTACCCATCGCTGCATCTCTACTCCACCTACCCTACTTTTGCATCACTCTGCAGAAGGATCAGTGCCACTGTCCGTCTGGGAAAGCAGGTCTTTCCTGTGGTTGATTGGTCCGTTGGTATCCTGTTCTGATCTCGTTCGAGATATTTTCGGTTCATACCTTGGTGAGTTGCTGTATGACATGTGGTCCATCAATAGACCTTCATGCTCATGATGACCCCTTAGCGGCAGTATGTCTCTGGAAGACTCGTACTATATGCCAAAAACGCCTCCTGGGGCAGCTGGGGCACAGGTTGTCGGCAGCGCGCACAGCCGCAACACCTCTGCTTCGTCCATCTTTTCTCAAGACTCATCTCCCGACTCGGTTGTGACGTGCATGACAACTCCCAGCACGTCGCCTCCCAATCATCAGCATGGGCCGGCTCTTTTGCCCAAGATCCGGACTCAAGACGTGATCGTTGAACCTGCATCCGCTGGCGGACCACGGCGCCATCGGCGTGTCTTGTCCAACACGCGGAATCCTCCGGGCTTTGTGCCCTATCCTGTCAGCCGTCCGTCTTTGCAGAGAAGTGTCATTGACACCAGCGACTGTGCGGCGCTCGTTTCGCCGATCTCGACAGCACCAGCCCAGGGGTCAGGTACTGCATCGGGCCTGTCGTCGCCGATTGCTTTGACATCGTCGACTAAACGCAGGAGCTCGGGAGGGCACTCCCGCTCGAGCTCTGCGTCCAGCATTGACGAGGCCACCTTGTCCCGGTACGGCTATCCAACGTACAGGCAGCTGCCAAAGTATGTCTCTCAGTCGCAGGTTTCTCCCACGACTCCCGTCAGCCCGGCCTCGTTCACCTATCCGACGTACCCCCAGGTCCCAAGCATCAGTGTGCCCAGGCCCATCCAAGTGCCACTGGCGGTGCAGCCCTCATATGCGGTCGTTCCTTCTCCCCAATATGAGTATCTCCACAGCTATAGCGCGCTGCCATCCCCTGTTGTGCAGGTCGCCCCGTCTGTTGACTCCCAATCATGTACTACGCTTCTGTCTTATCTCACAAGCCCGACTCAGGCCATTAACCTGGTCCGTAATGTCAGCATTGTGCCGACAAATGGGCTTCAAGACTATTTCTGGTGGGATATCCGCAATCTGCGTAGTTGGTCGAGCTTCTCTCTCTCCACCTTCAATGACATCAGCGGACTCACCAAGCTTTTGAAGACTCCGATCCCGGCTCACCTGACTCCCCAAACCATGGTCCCGTCTTCGCGTCTGTCTCCTGAATCGGAAAATGCGCTGATCAGTCTGATCAATGACATCTATGCACCCCGCGTCAACGCGGCTCTAGCAGTATCGCAGGGGCGGGATCACCTACGGCTTTATCCTGCTCCGGATGCCCACACGTCTGCCAGCCGGAACCGCGGCGGGGCTCACTTTCTTGCCAACTATGCCTCTGATACCGAGCGCACGAGCTCAGGCTCGCCACGAGGGCGCGTTGTCGGGATAGTCAAGAGCTTCGATCGCTGGAACACAGGCATGCGAAACGAGCCGCCGCATCGACGGGTGGAGTATCTCAGGGGATTGGCACATCTGCAGCGCTGCATGCGGGAGCACTCGTGTCGATATGGCTTCATCATGACGGAGATCGAGCTGGTTTGCGTCCGCGCTGGCTGCGATGAAGGCGACGATGTGCCGTATTTTGGATTCCTCGAGCTCGCATCACCTATTGCCACGAAAGAGTCTTCTGCAACGTTTAATGTGGAAGCTGTGAAGTCTGCAGAAGCGGTGGCGACAGCCGACTCGAGCGAACCTCCTCACTCCCCAGGCTCCTCTGACGACTCTTCCTCCCGCAGTGCCTCTCCGCCTACCGCAAGCTGCCCCGAGAATGCATCCGAAGGCCTCAATGTTCCCATGACCGCTACGCTGGGCCTCTATTTCCTGCTGATGCTGTCCAAAGCGGTGCCGCTGCCATCTCAGCCGTCAGGTCACCTGAATGTCGGTGGACCTGGGGCGCTGACCCGTCAACGCATCCTGCCCGAACCCAAGGATAAGTGGATTCCAGAACCTCAGACGGCAGAGAAACGGGTCGCCAAAAGGGTACGTGGATGGGTGTGGCCACAGGATGCATGGGACCGCCGCGAGGGAGCGCGACCCAAATCGGCTGCGATGAGAGCAAGGGCTAAGCAGTGGCACAAATAGTTATAACTTATGCCATTGTACTGAAGAGGGAGAGAGTAGGATCAAGAGCAAGAATAGGTAATGTCTATTTGTTGCGAAACTTTTCATTTGGGGGTTTGTTTTCCCCGATATTCCGTGGTGTTTACTCTCATTATTGCCTTGGACTGTTTTCTCTGTCCGCATCGGCTGTTGCTCGATTCCCCATGGCGTATCCGGGCTTGCATTTTGTCATATTGCTTTCTGTTTCCCATGACTGGATGGGTTGATTTTCGTTTGGTAATATTTTGTTGTCTCATATTTCGGTTTTATTACTTACGTGAAATTTCCTGGGTGATTGGATAATATAATCAAGGAGTTCACTTCTGTGACAAGAATTGTATCATTTAATGAATTCGAGGCCTACAGACCGAACTCTATTGGACCTGGTTCATCCATATGGCCAAGTCGCTGTCGCATATCATAATATGGCTCTACCAGTCATAATCCGGCTATCGGTGTCTATCATGTGATTGTTCTGTTATATCCTTGGGCTGTTTCTTCGTCGACATCTCGACGTCATTAGCGGCAGCATTTGCATTGTTCCAGGGAAAAGCGGGGAAGCCTGAAGTCTGGCAATGGATGTTGTACAGGTTTTGTTCCTTGTTCTGTCATGTTGCAATGATGCTTTTGCGGGGAATTAATTTTGACAGTTGTTATTGCGACCTTTGGACTGGTGCCACGGAATGGATAGACTCCGTCACTGCAACAGAGTCGAATTTTGAATCCGTGCAACAAGCAATTTCATCGCGAGCGATAGCTGCCTCACAGCTGATATGCAGGATGGATGCGCATCCATGAATATATGGTGGCAGCATCTAGATCAACAAGGAAAGATAAGCGTGTTGGTCAGGGTGCGGCATGTAACCTTGACCCGTCGTTATCTCTTGAGGTCTGCCCAGCTTGTGCCCTGCTTCTCCGAGTTGTTGGACCTCTTGGAAGATTACGTATGCACACTCTTCTGACATACTACTGTTGTACTGCACAACATACATACAGACAGAGAACTCCCTCTAGGAACGTGTGATTGACATGTTGATCATGAATATCATTCACATGTTGAAGCGTCAAGGCGTTGCCACATACGGCAACCGTTATGGCATTCCATGGTTGGGGGCTGATCAGCTGTCTCCACTGAATCCTTGACAGGAGCAAACCGATGAGGTGCGTATTCCTGATCAGGGTGGACGTATATATCGACTGATCTTGTGTTGGATGACATTCGCGCCACCTGATAGAACAACCTTGGTTCTCGTACGCAGCAACTGCTCGCCCATGGGATGCCTGATTGAAAGGACAGTGGTGGGGTTCCCTTGCGCCTTCCAGAATGGTCCGAAGATAAAGGGTTATTGTCCGGGGAGAGGGAAGGGGCCAGGCACCAGGTCTGCCCGGCCCGCTGATTGGCCAGCGTGGCTGTTCCTGGCCCAGGCGAAGGGAAAGCGCGAACCACGGAACGCCATTCCCGTGACTGCGTGCGCACGATTGCCACAACGGGTAAGTTCCATGCATTCAGGTTCTTATTCGGATCTTGTTTTAGTGTTCGCCTGCTTAGCGCATGCTACCTTCCTTTACCACCTCGACGCGCGCTCCCGGCGGTGCTCCGTTGGCTGCTTTGCCTCATGCGAACTCGTCATTGCTCGATTCATCCTTGGTTGGGCGCCTGGCTATCCATGGATGGCACGTCCATGGCCTTGGGGGCAGACCCATGTGCTTGCTGCTCGCTTCCTAAGCTGCTTAGCACGGGGAAGATCGAGCGAGGATCGATGATCGGCCGGCCCTACGTAACCTAACTGCATGACTAGGTAGCTTGTCATGCAAAAACATTATTCTTAGGTACGCAGTCGACAGGGGTAGCGGTCTCTCCCTGACAGTCCCGGAGTATATATGGACGAAGATCCTCATTTATCTCATTCCTTCTGACTCTCGACGGAGAGCATCCTCCACGGTGGCAAGTTGCATATACACACACACTCCTCTTGTCTTTTGCCTGCAGCCTGGAGTCCCATGACCACTGACCACAACTTAGGAACGCCCCCGGATACTGGAACGCCCCCCTGAACCTTGATCGAATCGGACTGCAGATAATTTAATTTTAGCCTTTTAGCTAACTCCGGGCCACGAGTCGCAGCCCCATTCGGAAAATAGGTTGACTACAGGTGGGTATCCGTGCGGTATAAGGTTCCTTGGAACGACGTCGCTATGACCATATATGACCTTATTCTTCGTCGATTTTATCGGTCCCCGGGCTGGTACTAAGTTATTAACCCACGCGGTTAATGGATTTCGGAACTATTCCGGATCGACCAACATCGTATCGATTGCTGGTTCTTGCGGATTCTAGCCTCCAAGAATCTTGGACAAACCAGTCATCTGATAGTTGAGCCCTGGTTCACCGGAAAACAAGGCAACAACTCTTCATCAACCAGGGGTCTTCTGCATCTCGGCTGTATGTACAAACTCTGTAGCCTCTGATTGCTCCAGAATGATGGGACTTACCCCCATCCTTGCTCCCATGCACCGGCAAAGCGCCTCCTGCAGCCACATCTTATTCGTAGTTCGGGAGGATTCAAGCATGGTACCCAAATAATGGGAAGGGCAGCTGACTGGATCGATCGATCGATTGATGCATCGCCAAGCCCGACTCCTCCCCCGTGATATCTGCGTTTTTTGGGTCTGGTATAACAATGCAGCCGCATGATTGGGATGGCGGACGAGGAAATGTCCGTGCCTGGGGCGGGAATTCATCTTCTCCGACCCTAACCCCAACCTTCTCCGCACTGATTGAAACGTTTGACCAGGGCTTTGATGCCAGCACGGGCTGGCAACTCAGTTTCTCGGAATACGCACGCGGCACCGAATGTAACCAACGGTCCACTCGGCATGCGTTCCCTCTCCCAGATTAACCCTAACCGCCTAGCGGCCCCAAGGTGTCATCCATTCTGTATCGGGAAGATCTCATCAAACTTATATACGGCGCTGGATCTCGCCATGGCATAGACTTGTTCTCTCTCTCTCTCTCTCGACCACGCCGTTGACGTCGTTCCTTCCCTGTCGTCGTCGCAGACGGCAGTCATTCCCTTTCTTCATTTTTTATACTGCACTTTGCAATAGTCACTCCTTTTTTGATTGACTTGGAGGAGATTGGGATCACTCCCCTCCGTCCGTTCCCTTGCTATCTATATATACTCGGTCTATTCGATCTAGGGTTATATAGATATATCGATATATCACCATGCGCGTTCTCAGCTGGGCGGTCACCGCCCTGTCCTTCCTTGCCACTCAGGCTCTCGCTAGGCCCATAGTCGTCCAGCCGGGCTCTAGCAGCAAAGTTGTCATCGGCTCGGACAACATTCTCAATGGAACTTCCGGCGCCGGCACCATCAACGGACCGCAGGCGACGAACGCGACGCTGCAGCTGTCCATCGTGAACAACTTTAGCAGTGGCGGCAAGATCAACGCCTACGTCACCGGCACCGACTCGAACAACCACATCGTCTTCGTCAAGTCCGACGGCACCTTCTACTACCCTCCCTCGACCACCTCCACGACGCCCATGTCGATCGACGCCGACGTGGCCATCCCCATCGGCGACGCGGGCAGCACCACCAAGATCACCATCCCCAACTACATCAACTCCGGCCGTGTGTGGTTCGCCGAGGGCGAGCTGAAGTTCTTCGTTGTCGCCGTCAACGGAGGCATCGCGCTCGTCGAACCGGCGGCCGCCAACCCGCAGGACCCCAGCGCTGACGTGAACTGGGGCTTTGTGGAGTTCACCTACACCCAGGACGGCGGCCTGTACGCCAACATCAGCTACGTCGACTTTGTCGGGCTGATCCTGGGCATGTCGCTCTTGACTATGGATGGCAGCACCCAGACGGCCAAGGGCCTGAAGCCCAACGCCGTGCAGAGCATCTGCAGCGCGCTGAAGCAGCAGGCCTCTTCGGACGGGCAGCCGTGGGATGAGCTCTGCGTCACGGACAGCCAGGGCAACCAGCTCCGGGTCCTGTCGCCGAACCAGTACATCAGCATCAACGCGGCGGCCTTCCAGGACTACTGGACAGACTACGTCAACCAAGTGTGGTCCAAGTACAGCAGCCAGCCGCTGACGATCAACACGCAGATGTCGGCCGGCAACGTGAAGTGCACCGTGTCGGGCGACACGCTGTCCTGCGACGGCGACAACCGCGACTACAACAAGCCGACGGCGTTGGACATCTTCGGCTGCAACAGCGGGCCGTTCGCCATCGACCAGCACACGGACAACGACGTGCACAAGGCGGTGGTGCCACGGCTGTGCGCGGCCTTTGACCGGTCGACGCTGCTGCAGCCGGGTGGCAACATCCAGCCGGGCTCCAACACAACCTACTACAGCACCTCGCCGACCAACTACTACAGCAAGTTTGTGCACCAGAACGAGGTCGACGGCAAGGGCTACGCCTTTGCGTACGACGACGTCAACCCGAGCGGTGCCAACCAGGCTGGTGTGGTGTCTTCGGCCAACCCGAAGCTGCTGACCATTACGATTGGCGGGCCGTCGTCTTCTTCGTCTTCTTCATCTTCATCTTCTTCCTCTTCCTCTTCTTCTTCTTAAACTCTCAAGTTCTTCGTCATATATATGGATTTTACGCATTTATTCGTGTACCTATTGGGTTGGATATGGTGGATCTCTCTCCCCTTGGTGGATATACCAATGGTGGTCGGCTTTGTGCATTACATACATATATCTAGGGACTATTCAACGGCGGTCTGACTGCTACATACTTACATATGAGTGCCTCCTTCGTAGAAATCTACGTATGTAGACACGTACAACACAGTAGTGGTGGTGGTGGAGGGGCAGATTATATAACCTACCTAATATGGCAAACTTGGAAAAAAAAAAGTTGTTTGCTGCTCCAGCCTCCAGGTGGGTGGGGCGTGCAGAAACCCTTTAGTCCTGATACATCAACTGTCACAGGCCACACGACCCGCCAACCAATTGAATTGAATAGGTACCCTGTCAAGGACTCTAGATGGGAGAACCCGTGGGCTAGCCAGTAGCCACACACGAAGAGACGCAAATTTTACTTATATAAAGGATAGGTCATGGAGAGCAGACGATGATGATACCGGTTTTTTTTTACGTCCTGGCCATCCTCATTACTCATAAAGAGGGCCTCCCGGCCTCGTTATTAGTTAGGAGTTTACACAACGCTTCCAATCATAGTCGGTCCGGCCCTGGACAGTACCTATGAACCATTATTTAAAAAAAGGAGAGAGGGAGTCTACTATTTCACTGTTTCCTGTTGTACTGTACATACTTACGTCTTAGTGGGTTTCTGCCTTAACTACATACAAATTAATATAGATTTTAAGAGATTTATCTGTACTTGGAATACTATTTATTATTGTCCTGCTCATTGTTGTCGTCTTCTTTTTTTTTTTACTTCTTCAAGACCTACGACTGACCATTAGATGGTTCAGTATCTGCTGCATCTACCGTTCGTCTTGGGAATTCCATTCGTCAAGCATATCAGAATCTTGTTCTTGCTCTAAGGAATCTAAGGAAAGCAGACTATCATCGTCATCATCATTGTCGTAATAATCATCCTCGATATCTGCAGCTCCGCTTATGGCTACAACTCGGTTCAAGAACCATTGCATCTCCAGCAGCGCCCAGCTAGGTAGAGGAAGGTTCTCTGGGTCTTCTGTTTCCAAGGGAAGTTCATCTCCTGACTGAATGAGGTTGGTTGTCTCGTGATTCCACAGCCGAGCGTAGCCTGGTCCTTGATCACGGCCTTCTAACAAAGGAGTCTCACAAAGATTGACATTGGACGGACGCGATTCCTTGCAGAGCCAGAAAAACTTCACTGTCAGACATTTCTTATCGTCTGAGAGTGAAATGGGCTTAAGGGCGAAGTACCCTTTCCTGTAATATCGATGTGCGCTGGGTGAAAGACACATCAGGTTGTAACAGACCTCGATATATCTGCCTTGAGGAAAAATTGCATCGTGCCATGCTTTGACACGATCCTTAGACCAGAAATAGCGTAGGGATGTCCAAATATTGGGGTCTTCAGGAACTTCCCACTTTTCATGGCCATGTAAGGAGAATGGATAGATGTGCGCAACATCAATTTCGCGATCCCTAGTGATGATACAACGCCGATGGTCTCTCTTTTGACACTATGAATGGTCAGCCAGAGCAAGAAAATCAGCCAGGATGCTTTGGAAGAACTTACTAAGCCCTTAGTGATAGTTGAGCGACGCTTTAGGTCGCCTATATCCATCTCATCTAGTTTGCGCTTCGGAGAGCCAGAGTTGGGGGTTGGTGGATCAGACGATGGCACCGACAGTTGTGGAGATGCCGGTCGGGGAGAGTCCTTCTGATCGCGCTGCAACCCTCCATGTTGCTAGTGGGTATTAATCATGAGGTAAAAGGAAGTCAAAGGTATGTACTGTACATTTAGAAATCATCTTGAAATATTCCTCAAACTTGACCAGCTGTATCGTGTCGAGCCAGGAAGTATATCCTCTCGTCTACATTCGTTCACCCAGTATTGGAGTCTCTCAATGTCGGCTAGCCACAGGCAGGCCCAGGTTGTGGGTGGAACCGTAAGACCAATGTGCTGCCCCAGTTCATGGAGTAGTTTCTTGCAACGTTCGTCGCTGAATTCCTCTTCGGGGCCATCAGATGACGCCATTTCTGGGATAACTAGAAGATGGACAGAAGGATGAAAGATGGAGGACAGGTAGAAGTTGACATGAAGTTCATGTTCCAAGAAGGCCTAGATATCCCTTCTGGGTTTAGTCCCTCAGCTTATCTGCCCGGGTGTCAAGTGAAAGCGGTTAGCGCTCAGTCACGTGATTAATTAAATAGTGACCTAACCTAATCTACACCCTAGGCACCGCTCGACTTGAACTTAGCTCAATACATCTCACAACCGACTTCACCTCCTACCTCCAAGAACACGCTATACCTTTGATTTCCTTGCCGATTCGCTGTGTCAAAGGTCCAAGAGACAGACCTTCCTTGCCCTCTTTTCCAAGCTTAGGTTGTAACGTAATCCATCCTCATCACTGGAAACGGAAACCATATAATATCTATCGCATATCCTTATATTATATGGTTATATATTATTTTTCTAATGGATTTAAAAACGGTATTATAGTCATATACATGTAGTCATTACTCGTACGACAGTGCCTGAAAAAAAGGAGTTGTCGACAAGACGGACTCTGACGTAGTGAGTGAGGACCTTGGGAAGCAAGCCCTCATCACTATCTACAATGTGACTAAGGTATTTAGCTAGCTCACCGGGTCCTTATCCTCATCTCTGCATTAATGGGCGTTATTTAATGACTGACTGATGGACACGGAGGCATTTCTTATTGTTGAGAATCAGGTCCCACTAGGAGATAGGAGATGATGTGCATGCACAGTAGTTATAGATGGATGGAGCTGGGTACCCCGGTGGCAGTAGCAGGAGCATTAGCAGTAGCAGTGATTAGTACTTAATTAATTACTTCCCTGGGGATCTCCCCTTCGTAGAATATAACTACTCTGCACACGTTGAGCGGTATTCATCAATTCAATTCGATTCAATTCTTCAAGTAGAATTTCTGATTGTTGTAGATCAGCACAATGACAGTCAGTCATATCCTTCCAATCCATCCTCCTCCTCTTCCCACAGCAGCAGGGAGAGACGATCAAGAGATCGAAAGAGAAGAAGACACAATCTACGACGTCATCATCGTCGGCGCCGGCCCCTGCGGTCTCGCCGTCGCCGCCAGACTGCGGGATGAGACCCCCTGGCCATGTTCACCGACGAAGAGCACCAGCGGTACCACTGGATCAGGAAGCACAGCGGCCGGATGAATCTGGTGCGGGCGCACAACCGGAAAATGAAGGGCGTGAGGGCGCAGCGATATGTCGGACTCAACGATGACGACAACAACGAAAAGAAAGGCAAAGACCATTGCTTCAAATGCAAGGTCAACAATAACAGCAACAGGTCGCGATTCTCCACCCTCGTCCTCGACAGCACCAGCGACCGCTGGATGGAGCAATGGAACCGCTCCTTCCGCATGCTGGAGATCGATCAGCTGCGCAGTCCCATGTTCTTCCATGTCGACCCCAGCGATCGCGACGGCTTGCTGGCGTACACGCGAGAGAACGGCCGCGAAGGGGAGCTGTGCGAGTTGTCGGGGTGTGTAGGACAAGAGTTGAGTAAGCATAAGAGGAAGAAGATGCGATCCAAGACACGGTGAGTCGTCAACCAATACGTAGTCAGCGGTAGGCAAAGCCTGTCTAACGTGTTTCTCAGCAGTACCCCCCGAGAAGTTGAGATCGATGAGCGCGACCGGAAGGACTATTTCACGCCGTCAACGCAACTTTTCCTGGATTACTGCTCGTCCATCGTGACCCGTTACGGGCTGGACCGTCCCGGGCAGATCCTGCAATCGGAGGTCCAAGACATCCAATTCGGCGAGATACCAGGCTTATCGACAGACGGTAAGAAACTGTTCACACTATCCACCTCCAAGGGGACCTTTTACAGTCGCGCTGTGGTCTTGGCCGTCGGTCCCGGCCATGCGAAAATGCTCCCCTGGGAACTGTCCCCAGAGGAGCAGATGGGCGCCTGCCATGCTCTTGATATTGGGACTTTCCCCAGCCCTCATGTCTGGAAGAAGATCAAGCAGGGTCTGGAGACGAATGTGGTCGTCGTGGGCGGAGGACTGTCCTCGGCGCAGGTCGTCGACATGGCTGTTCGGAAGGGGGTAACCAAAGTCTGGCATCTTGTTCGCGGGGATCTTAAGGGTAAGTAGCCAGATGACTTCTCTAAAAAAAACAAAATCAGACTCAAAAGAAAACAATGCGAATACTAACTTCCGCAGTCAAGCACTTTGACGTCAGTCTGAACTGGGTAGGCAAGTTCCGCAACTATGAAAAGGCCGTCTTCTGGTCTGCAGACGACGATGCAGGTAAGAATTCCTTTTTTCCTCCCTGTTATCGAAAAAAAAGCAGCGCGATAATGACGGCCACAGAACGATTCCAAATGCTCCAGACAGCCCGCAACGGCGGCAGCATCACCCCCCGATTCCAGAAAATCCTCAAGCAGCATATCGCCCGCCAGCGACTCTCGATCCACACGCGCACCGTCATCACCGACAAGCACTTCGACCCCGTCTCCAAGACGTGGCGACTGACGACGAACCCGCCCATCGCGGACCTGCCGCCGCGCATCGACTACATTTACTTCGCGACGGGCATGAAGGCGGACGTGCGTGAACTGCCGCTGCTGCGGTCGATGAATCGCGACTACCCAATCGAGGTCCTGCACGGCCTGCCCTGTCTGACGGACGACCTCATGTGGAAGCCGGACGTGCCGCTCTTCGTGACAGGCCGGCTGGCAGCGCTGCGGTTGGGTCCTGCTGGGCCGAATCTCGAGGGGGCGCGACTGGGAGCAGAACGAGTGGCATGGGGGTTGGATGCGATGTTTGCAGATGGCAGGAAGGATGATGGGAACCAGCCAGAGGAGCAGCTGCAAAACGCGTTTTGCGGGTTGGGGAATCGATACGCTGGGTTGACAGAGGTGTAATACGTGTAGCACAATTAGAAAGTAAAATACACACCAGTATATTGATTAAACAATTGATTAAAACAAAGAAGAAGACAGCAAAACAATCGATAATCATTCTGATATGATAGGCGTGACTGCTAGTCCGATAAGGATACGATCGACCAATCAGCATGCAGGCATTGCGCATCGTCCCCCGCATGTAACGTGGGATGCGGAGGCGTGCAGGAAATGTGCAACTTGCTGTCCTTTATATGCCACGACGTGTCCTGGTCTGGTTTGCTTTTTGTTCGTTTCTCTTTTACTTGTTTCTTGATGTCTGACTGATCTCGGATTTGACTATAACCAAGGAAAATACACAGTACGAGTGGACATTACCCCTATCATGACTGCATCTCAGAGCAATGGCCAGAGCAATGGCACTGCTGCGGCTGCGAACGGCCACTTGAACCAGGCCATTACCTCTTCAGGAAGCACGAACGGTACGAATGGCAAAGGCAAAAAGCTCAAGTTCCTCGTCATCGGCGCCGGTTCGCGCGGCCATGCCTACGCCGAAGCCGTCACGGACGCAACGTCGGCAGTCATCCACGCCGTCGCGGAGCCACACACCTACAAGCGCCGTGAATTCGGACAGAGATTCATCTGGGGTACCCAGGGCAAGCCATCAGAGGGACAGGAATTCACCGACTGGAAAGAATGGCTGCAGTGGGAGCAGGAGCGTCGTCGCAAGAAGCAGCAGCAGCAGCAGCAGCAGCCAGACTCGGTCCCGGACGGCGTGGACGGCGTCTTCGTCTGCTCGCTCGACGAGACGCACGTCGAGATCATGACCGCCATCGCCCCGCTGCAGCTGCACGTCCTCTGTGAGAAGCCCCTGGCGACGTCGCTGAGGGACTGTCTGGCCATCTACCGCGCCTTCGTGCCCCGGGGCCAGGAAGACTCGGCCCCGTCCAAGGTCTTCTCCATCGGCCATGTGCTGCGCTACAGCCCGCACAACATGCGTCTGCGCCAGCTCCTCCTGACCGACCGCGTCATCGGCGACATTGTCTCCATCGAGCACACCGAGCCCGTCGGCTGGTGGCACTTTGCCCACAGCTACGTGCGCGGCAACTGGCGGCGCGAGACTTCCGAAGGCGTCGGCTCCCTGCTGACCAAGTCCTGCCACGACATCGATTTTATCCTCTGGCTGCTTTCGTCTCCTCCGCCTGGTGCGCCCCGGGATACTCCGCCGCATGCACCGCGCTCAATTTCGTCCACGGGCGTGCTGACCCAATTCCGCCCGCAGCGGAAACCCGCCGCGGCGGGCTCCGCTACCAACTGCCTGTCCTGCCCGGCGGAGCGGAGCTGCAACTACAGCGCGCTCCGCATCTACCGCGACCTGCAGCTGGCCAAAGGCGACACCGCCTGGCCCGTCAGCATCGTCTGTCCGGACATCGAAGACACGCTGAGGACGGCCGGCATGTCCGCTGCCGAGGAGCTGCTCCTCCGCCGCCTGGGCGAGGACTACGACCGGGCGACGACGCCCGATGCCGAGATCGCCGCTCGCCCCTGGTACGGACGCTGCGTGTACGAAGCAGACAACAACGTGTGCGACGACCAGACGGTGACCATCACATGGGACGACGACGACTCGCCGACAACGAAATCGCTGCCGTCGCGCATCGCCAAAACGGCCACGCTGCACATGATCGCGCCGACGGAGAAGCAGTGCGAGCGCCGCGGCCGCGTGTACGGCACCGAGGGCGAACTCGAGTACGACAGCCGCACGATCCGGATCTACTCGTTCACGACGCGCAGCTTCACCACCATCGAGATCCCGCGCCAGCCGCCCAAGGAGGAGCGGTCCCACGGCGGCGGCGACTACGGGCTCACGCGCATGTTCGTCGCGGCCGTCGACGCCGTCGAGAACCACGGCTGGGATGTCCGTGACGCGCAGGCCCATTTCGTCGGCTGCACGCTCGAGGAGGCCGTCCGGAGCCATGCCGTGGTGTTTGCGGCCGAAGAGGCCCGGCGCGAGGAGAAGGTTGTCCGGTGGAAGGAGTGGTGGGAGGAGAAGTTGAAGTCGTTTGCTGTTGCGGCTGATGATGCAGGGAAGTCTGCTTTGGCTTTGTAGGCAGAGATGACAGATTCATGATGATACCGATAGAGTATGAATTTCGTTTTTCCATCTCGGGTCTTTGATATGATTCTTTTGACAATTTCTACTTTGGACATGAGTTATGACGATGCTGGCAAGAATGGGACCTGCTGATGCTCAACCAGACTTCCATTTTTCGGTTTTTGTTTTGACCTATTTATTACGCATATTTCGGGTAATAATATAATGCTGCTGTGGCTACACTACTACATTAACTACCCATGCATGCGATACGCTCTATATCATAATCCCGTAGCATCATTGCAGTTTTCATCCACGTCACATCGTGACTTCACGTGGGTTTTTTTTTAATATTCCCGACATGGGAGTTCCGGAAGTATTATATCTAAGTCTTCACATCCGGTTCCTCCCGACCAATGAACTCCTTCAGCTTCAGCAAAGACATCGCCAGCGCAACATTGTCTTTCAGGTAGTCCTGCGCGTTCTTGCTAAACTGCGACTCATCGCTCTCGTGCTTCTCGATGTACAGACGGATCGTGGCACCGCTGCTGCCCGTGCCCGACAGACGGACGACAATGCGGCTGCCGTCGTCGAACCGGACGTACAGACCCTGGTTCTTGCTGACGCTGCCGTCGAGATCCGTGTACGAGAAGTTACCCGCTTCGGTAACCTTGCGGCCAGACACGGTCGAACCGACAAACGTGTCCTTGTTCTCAACCAGGCCCGAAAGGTGGGCGATGACCTTGTTGGCAGCGTCGCTGTCGACCTTCTCGTAGTCGTACCGCGTGAAGAACGTACGGCCGTAGGTCTTCCAGAACTCGTTCTGGATCGACGCGATGCTGGGTGTCTCGTTGGGCCTCTCCTTGGCCACACCGGCGATGATGTTCAGCCAAGCAACGATGGCCCACACACCGTCCTTCTCGCGAATGTGGTTGCTACCCGTGCCGAAGCTCTCCTCACCGCAGATGGAGATCTTGTTGTTGTCGAACAGGGCGCAGAAGAATTTCCAGCCGGTAGGCACCTCGTACGACTGGAGACCCTGGGCCTTGGCGACGAGGTCGACAGCGCCCGACGTAGGCATGGACCGCGCAAGGCCATAGACCCCGTTCTTTCGGAAGTAGGGAATGTACTTTTTGGCATGGTGCGCGATGATGGCCAGACTGTCACCAGGAGAGACAAAGGTGTTGGCGCCGTAGATCATGTTGCGGTCGCCATCGCCGTCGCTGGCCGCGCCGAAGTGAATGCCGTTCTTGTCGACCGCCTCGACGAGAGCGTGGGCATAGACCAAGTTGGGGTCCGGGTGTCCGCCGCCAAAGTCGGCCTTGGGGACGCAGTTTTGGGTGCTGCTCTCCGGCAGGCCCAATTCCTTCTGGAAAATCTGCACACCGTAGGGTCCCGTCACGCCGTGCATGGCATCAAACAGAACCTTGAAGTCCTTGTGCGTGTTCAGGAACTCGCGGATGAGGTCAAAGTCGAAGATCTCCTTCAGGAACTCGACGTAGTCCGCCACGGAGTCGACGACCTCCACCTCCAAAGCGCCGTAGCTCCGAGTTCCGATCTTGGAGAGGTCGACATCGGGAAGCTGGGCAATCTTGTAGGAAGTCAACGACTTGGAGGTCTCGTAGATCTTATTGGTCACGGATTCGGGGGCCGGAGCACCGTTGCTCAGGTTGTATTTGATTCCGAAGTCCTCGTTGGGACCTATTTATTACCCGACCCTCCGTCAGCTCGAACCTTCACTGAGTTGACATTATGATCTGTCCTTACCGCCGGGGTTGTGGCTGGCAGTCAGAAGGATACCGCCGGTCGCCTTCCTCTTGCGAATGAGATGGCTGGCGGCTGGAGTGCTCAGAATTCCATTCTGTCCGACCAGGAGCTTCTTCACGCCGTATGCGGCGCTGATCTTGGCGATTTTCTGAACGACCTCGGGGTTGTGGTAGCGGCCATCACCGCCAATGACCAGGAACGCGCCCTCAGCACCCTCGGGGATGGACAGGAGAATACTGGTTATGAAGGATTCGGAGTAGTTGGGCTGCTGGAAAACGGTGACTTTCTTGCGCAGACCGGAACTGGCCATACACATTAGCTCGGAGCTCACTCTCCTCCCAATGCCAACGACAGAGGTCATTCGGGATCAGACTACTTACGTGCCCGGCTTCTGGTCGGTGAAGGGGGTGATGTTTACGGTCTGGATCGACATGATGCTGGTACGGACTTAGGCGGGGAGGAACAAGCGGAGAGCAGCCCAGAGGACTGGAAGACGACAAACGGGGTGTTGAGAAGCAACAAGCAAGGAGCTGCGAGAAAGCTGCGGCAGAAGGCGAGAATAAAAAGTGTCCTCGAACGCTCTCTCACCGACAATTGAGCATCGAGAAGGTCGAGAAGGCGTGGGCCGTGTCGCCGACTAAAAGGAGGAAGGCGAGGTTGGCAGGAGGGGCAACTCGCGTCATACTATCGTGTCTCAAACAACCCCACCGGCCAGCAGGGCAGCCCGTGCTACTTGCGCTCTCTCTATTGGCTCGCCGGACGGAGGCAGTCGATAGATAAAGGATGGAAAAGCAGTCGTTGGAGGGGCTCGCAGTGCCTTGCGAAAGAGAGCAATTCGCGTGCGGATTATTTTACACCATCCCAAGCCTCTCTCCGTAAACAAGGAAATACAGGCAGCCGGACTGCTAGTCTGTGGGACGGAGGACAAGCGCAGCGCCACAACGGCTCTCCCACTGCTCTACACCGGAACTAGAGGTCGACAGGAATCTGGGCGCTGGGCCCAAATCCTACCCAAATTTTGTGATCACCGTAGGCCAGCTACTAACAAGGTATACCGCGTTCCGCATGACTGAGTTTCCGGATTGTCTGTATCCTGGAGTTGCATCCAACTCAAGGAGTTGCCGCTGGCCCGGGGTGGCCAGAATCCTGAATTGACTTGAGGCGTTCAGGATCTGCACGTCCAGACGATAAACGACCTCGCCGTCACTCCTACAAGGCCGGGTTTTGTAGACCAGACCAGGGTAGCTTATTTCCCACCGAACAACCGGTCACGATAGTACCGCATTTCCTGTATGCTTTCGAGGATATCGTCCTTTGCCAAGTGTACCTCACGCTTAGGCGGTGCATCTTTCAGCAGGTCGTCACTTCCCCATCGTCGCACGGCCTCCTTGATCGTGCTCACGTCCAGGATGCGGTAGTGTAGCCATTCTAGGACCGGCGCGTAGGGACCCTTGGACAGGAACGCCCTGTCTGCGTGGACACTGTTTCCCGCCAGCAGCGCAGTGCGCGGTTCAGGCACATACCGTTTAATGTAGGACAGCAATTCTGCGGCTGCAGCAGACGGGGTGGTGGTGGACGCTAGGACGGCAGCAGTGAGGCCGGAGCGACCGTGGGTATCGATGCACCATTGTGACATAGCATCGAGAGTCGACTTCGGATGGTGGATGACGACTTCGAATCCATTGGGATCGAGGAGCTGGAGTTGCGTGTTCGTGATGAAGCAGCAGATCTGGAGGATCTGATCAGTCTCGGGGTCGAGGCCTGTCATCTGTAGAGTCCATAGTCAGCTTGGTTCATGGATAAATCTCAGCGGCAGGCCCGGAAGGACACGAGGTTCTCGTGAGAGAAACAAGGACTGTTCGATTGGCATTTGTGTGCTGGGGATTCGAACCTCACAATCAATCCACACCAACGGGGCGGTGGAACGCGTCAACGCCATGGTGGTCTCCGCACAATGGGAAAACAATCTCCGTGCTTGAGGTCGCTTGATATCAAGTCAGTTCAATTGCACTGGGTAAAGCTCTGCAGCAATGGAGTGCGGGGTTGAGAAGCTGACGGTGTTGAGAGAGGACCGAGAATGACGCGAACTCGGGAACGCGAAGGGGTGACATGGGACCATCACCCATCTCAGCCATCGAACTCGGCAGGACATCTTCAACCGTGCAACCCGCCTCATCATCCTGGATTCTCACGTTATGTTCGGTATCTAGGAGATGGTCATGGTTGTGAAAGGCATCGCTCATGACTAGTGACCACTGCAGAAATGTCTTCTGATCAATATGCACTCCAGCCAGTTCTATACGGAGTATCTCCTTGAACAACAACCACGAGTCGAAACAATGAACACGGATAATTTGCCTTAACCAAAAGTCAAGAGACAACGAGTGTAAGATTTGTTTTCCTTTGTCCCCTTTCAGTTTTTTTTTCCCCCCCTCTGGCATTTCTATAGCTATAAGTCATGCTAAAGCTAATCAGGAATAGGAGATGACCTGTCAACAAACTCTTCTCTCACTAAGATCTTCTTCACTTGCTTGGCATTTCACTCTAGTGCGATTAAACACCAATACCTTGCAGCCATGGTCCTGTCATTGACTAGTCTGCTTGTGAAGTTCTGCCTCTTACTGCGGATCTGCACCATGCGTGTCATGGGCTCAGGTCAGGAGTTTTAGCCTCGACCCCTGCAATCACAAATGACAGGATCTATTCTTGGTATTCTTCAGTCTAATTTGGTAAGCCTCATCTAGTCCAGGTATGTACAGCACAATACGTTTACCACATCTTCATGATCATCACGTTCATTGCGTTGACTATTTACATATGTATGTCGTGCAGATCTTCTAGTGAATTCTTAAGGGTGCAGCTCGTCCAGATTACAGGTGTCCAACAGGTCCTGCGTGAGCTTGCCCTTCCGACTGTATCCCTCGACGTACTTGTCTCCCCACTCTCCCACCGTGTTGTCGTAGGTGGTCTCGGGCTTGGTCCTGCAGAGATTGCACATGACCTCCTTGAGGCCCTTCATCAACCCCAGTCTCGGTAACTCAGCCACAACTCTGTTGTACTCATCCCATGTCAGCAGGCCGTTGGGAACGCGGTCGGGACCCTGGAAGTCGGCCCAGATGCCGTACGAGCAGGCCTGCACTTCGGGCTCCTTGTGGAAGACGATGCTGCCGATGGTGTGGAGCGCGATGGCGTCCCAGACGAGCTGCAGGCGGTGCTTATCCCACTCTTCAGCCACGCCCTCCCGTTTGAGGAATTCCCGCGCGGCGTTGGCCCCGTCCACCTCGAAGCGCTTGTCCTTGGAGATGAGTGTTCCCGTGCGATCCCAGCCGAGATCGTGCAGAATGGCCGCGATGGCGTGCGCCTCCACATCGCGATCCCTCAGCTCGGGGATCTTGTCGGCGATGATGAAACCAAACAGCAGGGAGCGGTAGATGTGGTTGTAGGCGTAGTCCTCCAGGTGGGCGCGGGCGAACTCGAGAGCCTTGGTGACCAGTGGAGTATCCGGGATGGTCACTCCGGCGAAGACACGGGTGGGAACTTGAGCAGGAGCCATGGTTTCAGGCTGCAAGTTGCAAGTTTAATCTGATGAGGCTATCTGATAGGCGAGGATTCCCGGTTGATGATGTTGGCTGTCAGATGGTACCGGAAAACACTGTCTGTACAGACAAAACGTCAGGGATTAATTACACAGGAACGACTACTTCCTGGTAAGATCTAAGCGGTTCAGATTGTGACTGGAGATTTATATCTAGCCACACGGACAAGCCGGTGGGGTACCAGATGGCATTAATCCCTGCTCTCTTGACGGCAGGACGTCCAGTGGGATCTACTAGGCTGCTACTAGTCGTGCAATGGAGACGAACGTGCATGGCATGGGCCTCGCATGTCAAGGCCAAAGGTGCTGAACTCGCAGTTGTCAAGAGGATCGTCTCGCAGTCTAAACAAATAGCGGTTAAACTTGGTGGGACGGAACAACCTAGATGATGAACCGCGGACTGACATGGCCCTATTACTTAGCTGCGAATCAGCCGGCAGAATCCGCTAGAACTGGGAAAGTTGATGCCAAGCAGCGAATCTGGGAGCTAGCGAGGGGTTGGGTGCAGTAGTGGTATACATAGTTAAGAGGACAACTGGCGGAGAAGCTGATTCTGGCCCCTTCATTATACTTTTTGTACTCCGTAAGAGAAAATCCGAAAAACAAAGCTATCGAGCCATCATCCGTGCGTTGCTGTTGGACTGTAGTATTTGGCCTCGCTCAGATCCACAGATTATCTCGTTATACTTCGACTAGCGACGGCCATCCCGATTCCCCGGCCTTGGTAGCTGACCATGACAGATCGACGCGCAATCACCATTGGTCCGTCTTTGACCCCTCGTGGAGTCGTTTTCACTGGGCGACTCTATTGGACCTTGCAACCGAGGCCTGAAATCCGACTCTAGGGCATCGCCATGGCCGTGGCGTTGGGGGACTTTGTCAGTGCGCCGTTATCCCAGCAGATGAGTGGTTCTTTGGACTGTGTCAATTTGTCATTATTTTCGGAGGAGAGGATTATCGTTATGCTCGCTTGTTAATAATCCAAGTTATGCTACTTGCACAGTGAGCAAGGGTTTCTCAATAGCAAATCGTTTTTAAGGCTGTATCTTTTTTTCTGCTATAAAAGTATAATATGGCGGATTAAGTCACATGTCTTCTGATAATCTCTCCACCTGTCGGACTTCGCCTGCATCACCCATTATCACCCTGCTCCATCACACAACCGCTAGTATACTCTGCAGAAAACCCTATACTACATCATACTACACTCCCAGATCCGCCATTACCAGATCTAAAGACCCCAGCCTGAACAAGAGCCAGAGGCTATAGCAATGGCAACGAACGAGGACAACAACAACAACAACAACAACGCCCCTATCCCAGCTGTACGTCAAGTCAGCACGACTGAGTCAATCAAAAACATTGTCTAATAATATGCTCTCCAGGACGAGAACAACGACCCTATCACAGTTGTACGTCAAGCCAGCACGACTGGAGGCAATCAAATTCAAACCATGTCTGATAATATTCTCTCCAGGACGAGAACTTCGACTCCGATTCTGCCTACGGAGGAGATGACTGGAACTCGTTAGTCCGCAGTTTGAATTGATGGCTTTGTTTAAGTGAGATGGCAAACTGACCAGGTGATATCTACATAGAGAGACGACGTCGATTACATCTACTATATACAGAGGACTGACCGAAAATGGAAGACGGTAAGTCATTTAAAAGTGATTGATATAGAGAAAACATGACTGACTGCGACTCTTAGATATCAAACCAGGAGAGAAAACAAATACTGGTAGGGAGTATATATGCACAACTTTGAATACAGCCGTGCATCAGTCTGACACAGACAATGACGCAGGGGCCCATCTGATGACCAACAGTTCGAAACAATGGAAGCAGGGTACTTCCCTCCCCTTCCAGTCAGTTGACTGGTCGCTAGTCGCATTCTCGTCGCAGGAATTGACGGATGAGGTGCAGTCATTTCATGTACCTGGTCATGGACTACCATGAGGAGAATCGACTGTTCCGGTCGCCAATTGGGCCTAACCCGCAGGTGAGAATCATCGAGCGGCATCAAATGGACGGCGAGAGAGTCGAGTCTAATGGAAATAAATAGCATATACTTGATATTGGGACGGGCAAGGGTTCATGGGCACTGTATGGCTGCTGTCTTTGCTTTAACTAATTCTTCGGCTACGTACTGACTGTCTTTCAGAGATGTTGCAGATATGTTCCCGTCAGGCAAGTTGTCCTGCCTCATATGGGTCTGCGGGTCTGATTTCTCGTCTAACACAGCCTGCTAGCAACGGTTCGCGGCGTTGACCTCTACCCTCCTCCCGTCAGCTGGGTGCCGCCAAACTGCATTCTCGAGGTGGACGACGTCCTCGAAGACTGGACCTACCGGCAGCCGTTCGATCTGATCCACATGCGGCTTCTACTGGGGGCATTCACGCCGGAGGAATGGGACCGGGTTTACAAGCAATGCTACGAGTGAGATACCACTGCACAGAAGAGAATGGGAAGCCTGATCTGACCATATGATATGATATAGCAACCTCAAACCAGGCGGCTGGATCGAACAAGTCGAGCTGGACGTGCGCGTCATGTCCGACGACGGCAGTCTCCCGCCAGACAGTCTGCTCGCAGGCTGGGGACCGACATTCCTCGGCTGCGGCGAGCGATCGGGACGGCCGCTAGACACGCAGCTGACGATGCGGGCGGCGATCGAGAAAGCCGGGTTCGTGGACGTGCACGAGAAGCTGTACAAATGCCCGATCGGGGCGTGGCCGAAGGATCCCGTGCTCAAGGACGCGGGCGCGATCAACATGGAGCACTGGACGACAGGGCTGGAAGGCTGGGCCATGTGGCTGCTGACCAAGTACGGGGCGCCCAAGCCGTGGACGTCGGAGGAGGTCCGGGTGTATGTGGCCAAGGTGAGGAATGAGTTGCGGGATCCGAAGCTGCATATCTGGCATTATACGTAGGTCACCTTTTTACCTTGATCAGTAATGATCTGGTTACTGATGACATGCAGACGGAGAGTCTGGGCCAAGAAGCCCGAGACGACGACGACGACGGCATCGGCATAATCGGATGGCACGAACAAGATTCGAAAAATTCGAAAAATGCGGGGAAGTCAATCCGGAGATCCGGGGTCTGGGGAAGTGGAGATCGATCTGCATGTACATACATCCATACATACATGTGATATCACTGATATGATATGATATGACGTAACCTTGTTTCCGACGTAGGTAACTACCTAGTAACCATAACCAGTAACTACTTACCTACCTACCTAGGTAGGTAGGTACAGTTAGGTACATACATTCCATCCATTCCATCCATTCCATTCCACTCCATTCATTCCGCATGCGGAGGAATGTGTGATACCACCGTACCAGAATTAGGTATCCACAGTCAGATCAGATCAGATCAGATCAGATCACATGCAAGGCATCATCAATACCTTACCAATTGCCTTCCTTGGTTTGTAGCCTAGGTTGGGTAAGTTACCTAGGCAGGTACTCCGTACCTGGATCTAGATCTAGATAGATCTATTAGATCTAGATCTGGACCCAGTAGTACATACCTAGATCAGGGCGCACTGGATGATCTCTTTCCGCATTGGGTACTAGCTGCATAGTTACCTGCATGTAAAAGTGATATATCACACACATGATTCGTGAGATTCTGTAGGTGAGTACGAGACAAAACAAATCTTCGCTTGTGAAGTAAATTTAATCTTAGTCAAACTGAGGGAAGATTATGTTCCTTTGATTACTTGCAGACCAGATCTGCCAGGTCGAGTAGAGGAATTGTCAACCTGGGCAAGCTATCATTCACACTAGGGGTTCAGTTCACTATCTAGATAATCTAGGTTTTTCTTTTGTATGTACCCCAGTCTGTTTGACAGTCATTCATATCCGTATAATAAAATAAGTATTATACAAAAGAATCAACAGTAGTACCACGTACTGTATGTACATACATACCTGTATATAATGTATATGTACGTAATCAATACTTATCCGTATTCTCCTTCGCATCAATCTTCTCCCTCGCAGCCTTCATAAACTCTCTAAACTGCTCCTCACTGAACTTTGGCGGCGGAATCTTGACCCCCCGCTGGACAGCCTCCCGCTGCGAGATGGTCTCGTACCACTTCTTCAGCGCCGGCCACTCGCTCAGATCAATGTCCAGCGCGTTGGGCGCCGAGCGCACCCAGCCGTAGCTGGCGATGTCCGCGATCGTGTATTTGGGTCCTGCAAGGTACGCGCCTGTTTCCTGCAGACGCGACTCTAGTACCGAGTACAGCCGCTTCGTCTCGTCCATGTACCGCTTGATGCCGTAGTCGGAGCGGACCTGCGCGAAGACGCGGAAGTGGTTTGCCTGGCCTGTTCACCAGAAGAAAAAAAACATTAATTAATGGCATTCATTCTTCAGGTGACAGGGGAAAAGCGAACCTTGCATCGGCCCAAGCCCGCCCATCTGCCACATCAACCAGCACAGTTCCTCGACATATTCCGGCGTGCCGGGCGCATAGCTGAACCTGCGCTCCGTGTCGTACTTGTCCGTCAGATACAGCAGGATAGCGCCGCTCTCGAAGACGCGCTGGTTGCCGTCCGTGATGGCGGGGATGCGGCCGTTGGGGTTGATTTGAGGAACCAGCTGGTTGCGAGTCAGTATTGATAG